AAAAAATGTGTCTATGGCAACTCTGGCTGTTACTGAAAACGTATACTAATGTATTTGTTTTGAGGAAATTTTTAATAAATCATGTTCATAGATCAGACCTAGAGCAAATGAACGTCATTAATTTGTATGTATATAACAATAGTTGTATGTTGTTTTTAGAGTATTATGTATACATTTTCCAACATTGTTTTTACATCCGTCTATATTCATTTACATAGTTATGTATGTACCTACATGTAAGCACTAATGCACACATATTTTTCTGCAAATATCGCACATTGAAAATATTTACAACCACGTGACATGACTTTACACCGAATACACCGAATTTCGCAAATTTAAAATCGGCAAAGAAATTACATAAAAACTCACAAATTTTAGGTAGCACACTTGTACTAAATCTTAAATCAAACTAAGCAGCAGTCGATGTTTTGATACTTTCTTTTATTTCTACTTATTTTCATAATTAGGCTAGCGGCCAAAATAATCGCTTGCACTACCACAAGAATACCATTCACTGCCACGGATAAATTTCGACTAAACACACTTGCGCCAAATTCACCTTTTCTGAGTGACATGCTACGCAGCGGTGACGACCGCTCAACACCTTCGGCCAATGCATGTACATAACTGCCACCCACTTCGAAAATGAACTCTGACATTTTTCGAAATTGCAAATACATAAATAAAATAAAAACAAAAAAAAAAACAAATTTACTTCATAGCGCAATGATTGCATGTTTAAGTGGTTAAGGGCCGTTTGCACCATCTCTAGTTAACGCTAACTGGAGGTAAATCCTTCAGTTAAGCACGTTAACTGCTTTATCGATCACATGTTATATGATGGGTGTCGATAACGTCGATAAAGATGTTTAACTGGGAGTTAGAATTAACTAGACATGGTGCAAACGGCCCTAAATGTACATTCTTATGTATGTACATAAATACATATGTATTTTGTTTTTGCCTATTTGTTTATTGCAATAATTTTGTTTGCAAAATATTAATGTAATTTGCATGCTATTTATAGATTGCTGAAATCAAAAGCTCGCTACGCTAGTTTAAACACGTTGTCGTATGCGCATACATACACACATATATAGATACATACATATTTATAAACAAACATACATATAATATACATTAAGGCGGGACCAAAATTAATGTAAATTATGTAAAGTCTGAATTTTAATGCTCACACACCCTCAATCCGATTTCGATTCTATATCGAAAAATATAATTGAGATTAAAAAATATACAGAAATGAAATACAACTTTTGAAAATCGATATTTTTCGATCAGAAAACTTTGTTTCTCTACAGGTCACTTCCAATAAATTGACACAAAAAAAACGCCATCAAGTCCTTTTCCCAAGATAGATATTTTTTTAAGTTTACATTATGAATGAAAAAAATCAAACTTTAACATTGAAAATGTTACTCAAACGCCATGTACGGGGATTTTCTGTTCGCGCAAAACTTAGTAAGTTTCTCTCTTTGGGAGAGTAAGATATTACTATTATATATTATTTCATTCTCCTATTTCATACAAAAACTTATTGCACATTTTCATTTGACCATTCACATTCGATTTTTATCGTTAGTAGCTTAATTTTCGTTTTCAAAAGAAATGAATAAAATAAAAAAAAAGATTTGTTACTTTTTCTTGTCTTCCTTTTTTCATGAAAATTAAAATTTCTTTGGAAAATTAGTTGATCTGGAAAAACGGTATACAGAATCATAATTTTTTTGTGTAATTTCAAAACCTGAGGTTTCCGCTACTCTGTAATAATACTCAATTGTTTATTCTTTTAAATTAACGATTTTTTATGTGTATCTCATTGCATTTTTGGAGAATTTTTAAAAAATAGTCAGTACTAAAAATTTATTATTATTATTGGAAGTCTCCTGAAGAGAAACAAAGTTTCCGATCGAAAAATATTTGGTTTTAAATTTTATACCATTTCTGCGAAAAATTGTATGTATAAAATACATGGAAGACTTTGAGCGCTTTAAGCGACCTATAAATATTTTTTTCATTTCAAAATAAAAAGAAAAAACGGGTCTATTTTTTCGGTTTCGAGCAATACCAGCTGTGAGAGCAATAAAATTTCGACATTACTTTTTTTTAGACCACCCTAATATACATACATAGTATGTATACTGTATGACTACGTTTTAATAATATGTCAAATATATTAGATTTCATTTAAATTTTTTTTTCGAATTCTTGCGATTAAAAAAATTTAATTTTTCCAAACACTGGTAGTGAACCTTAAAAATTTGCGCAACATTTCGTGGATGTATTTATTTTGCACGTAGAACATTAGTTAATTAATTAATTAATCCATTTTTGCTTTCATTTCTAACTGTAAGCGTTGTCCAAATGCGAAAAATCGAAAGCAAATATCCGGTCTAACCCGTTTTTACCGATTAAAAAAAAAAAACTAAAACCCGTTTTTTTTTCAAATTGCCTTTTTTCGAATAACTCGAAAAGCAATTTTGGGAAAATCAAATAATGAACCATCCTAATGTATACATATGATACATTAGGTATACAACTTTGTACATGTTTACATTGCCCTCATTTATTAATGATCAATTATTTATAGAAGCTTGCACTCTAATTAACTCGATTTGTTGGCATGCTTATTTTTGTTGCAAATTATTACCGCGTCGCAAGATTTCTTTTAGCACCTTAATTTTTATTATACTTTGAGATATCTAGTGCACAGGCGGTTTTTCGTTTTCGAATAAAATTTTTTTTTATTATTTATTTTTTGCTACATATCGTAAACCTCAGTGTATAGGACTTCTAATGGAAACTGTTCGGAGTCAGCATTACCTCTCCCTCGGGATTTGCGGGACTATTTCAGGTCTATGGGACTCCAGAATGGCGGAATACATAGACGCCATATTATACATACATATGCACCATATTAAAACACCCCCGTGGTTCCGCCGCTGACTGACACGTAGTTTAACATCCAAAACCCCCCCCTGGATACGCCACTGATGGGACTACTCCGGGATTTTCGGAACTGTTTGGGGATTATTTCGCGACTTTCGAGAATACTTCGAGATTCTCGGGGCTATTTTAAGATTTATGGACTATTTTGGTACTANCTTCCGCCGCTGACTGACACGTAGTTTAACATCCAAAACCCCCCGCTGGATCCGCCACTGATGGGACTACTCCGGGATTTTCGGAACTGTTTGGGGATTATTTCGCGACTTTCGAGAATACTTCGAGATTCTCGGGGCTATTTTAAGATTTATGGACTATTTTGGTACTACATAGGGATTTTAGGGACTATTTTCGAGGATTTCACGGATTTCACGGATTTCGGGATTCTCGTGGCCAAAAGATGAATTGAAGTTAGGTAAATAGAGGTGAGTTGAGGTGAGGTAAGTTTAGGTTAGATGAAGTGAGCTGAGTTGAGTTCATTGGAGCTGAGGTGAGTTTAGGTGAACTAAAGAGCGAAATACACCACACAAGCGGTTTGACAAACCAAGCGAAATTTCCCTTTGCTTCAAGCCATTTGTGCTGTGTATGGGGGTGTTTGAAGGTTTGACGGCGGTTTGTCAAACCTTCAAACACCCCCATACACAGCACAAATGGCTTGAAGCAAAGGGAAATTTCGCTTGGTTTGTCAAACCGCTTGTGTGGTGTATTTCGCTCTTTAGTTGCCTAGTACTAGGTATTTGGATATTTAGAACCCAAAATTGGCGCTTCAAATACAAAAGTACTTGTGTAACTATGTATGTCCATCACTGACTAGAGGAGTATTTCTCCATGGGGAAAGACACAGTTTTAGAAAAATCCTCCTGATACCTTCAGACTTCAATCAATATTCCTCCCGACTTACAAAAGAAAAACACTCAACGCGCTTCAATTTTCCTTTGAGCAGCGTAAGAACCCTTTGTGGAATATTTGATAATGAATATACATACATACATACATTCTCAATAGCACAGTTTATAGTACATCTTGCATCAGATCGCTTGTCGTTTAACAGAGTTGGCCCAACTTTGCTATTTTCACTTTCATATTTAACATTTCTTTACTTTTACTTTCACTGTTTATGTAATCCAAGTTCTATCGAAGCTAACACGTGCTTCCATTAGCAGTAAACGGATTTAGGACAATGTCGACCGATGGCTGTTTATGCGGATGTGACAACCGCCATTGTGTCAGTGTCGTCGTTATGTGGATGTATGAGTTACATAAGTAAAACGGAAAGTAACTTGTGCATACACAGAATTTTATGCTTGTACATATGTACATATATGTATGTATGTATTAACTCGAAGAGGTTCTTTACTTTTAAATTGCGTGGATTCATGATTTTCGCATGTAAATAAAGTGCGACTTTTTGTAACAAAAACTATTTAACAATTAATTCGTTGTATGTAGAAATTTACAGCACCAGCTAACAAAAAATTAAGGCGAAAATGCTTACGTTTTTTCCACTCTTTGACTATGCAATGCTGATGGTTTTACGAGTTTTTTAAATTATGAAACTTCGATGCATAAATAAATCTCCAAACTTAAGTTCAAACATACATATACGCTATTTTACATATATTTTTCGAACAATAATATTTATGCACAAGGGCACATAATTTTACAAATATACGACACATATGTATGTACATGCACAGCACAATGTACTTTTTCCTTAACCGTAATTTTTATTTTGTTATACATATATAGCTGTATTATTGATTTTTATTTTGCAATTTATCTTATTGCTTAAATCTGATTTTATCACGTTTTTACTTGCTCACTTTTAGTTTAGAAATCACTAAAATCACCACACCGCTTAAATACACTAGACGTACTGTGATTTGCGCTGTCAATGGCATAGCGCCGCCGACTGTGTAGCCACCACCGACCTACTAACCCCTAACACCCCACCTAAGTAATTCGAAAATGAATCTGAAATAAACTTCGAATGTTGCAGCTCCTGCTTATGTTGCCTCTCTGCTGCATGCAGTTTCTTTGTCCATATTTTGATTTGAAATTAATTCCGTAAAATTAAATTTAATATTTTTTTTTTTATTTAACCTGTTACGAACTACCATTTTAAGCGGCGGCAATTTAGTACTTCAGCGTCTAAATTTATATTTGGACGATTGCTGATTGTGTTAAATACACAAGGCGAATTTGTTACATACAGAAAACTGCAACAAATTGAAATATCTTTATGCATACACTTTTTATTTGGGCGCAAACTATATTGCGAAGTATAAAGATTTTTTTAAAACTCACTTTCCGTCCCAAAAAAACAGATCCGTCCGAAACAAATCAGTGGCGCTCAAACTATGCCATAATGGATCTTTAGTTTAATGGCTATAAAACTGTAACCAATTTTTAATTTGGTCCCTAACCAGTGTTGACGGAAAACAAAATCCATTTTGGGCTACAATCTCCAGAAAAAAGAGCTAGAAAGGGCTAAATAAACAATTTTAGAGCTAAGAAAAGGGCTAGTTTCCTTATTCATTAATTGAAAATTTTTTTGGTTTTATTTTATAACCATGGTGGAATAATACAAGGTGTTGGATATTGACAGCGTTCTCGCTCTAATCCGCCATCTTGGCTCCCTTAGCTAAATCGATGTTTCCCTCTTAAAATAACTATATTTTGCCGCCTTTAAAAAAGTACTAAACTACCTCATTGCCTATTCCAAAACTGATTTGCAATCACTGAACAATTCTTTGACATTTACTCTGTTCTTATTCGTTGGCAACTGAAAATTAAATTAGAAATTTCAACATTAATTCGGCAAAAAACATCGCTTTAGAGATTTCCCCAAGGACTTATAGTTGTTTTGGTAAGTGCTTCCTGTCGCTGCAACTCCGTCTGTGGTTCGCTGCCACTGATCCTGCTTTTTCGGCGATATAACAGTTTTTGTTTGGTAAGTTTACATGGAAGATTTAAACTATAAGTAAATACGCATCTATTCCCCAGTGATTTTTGCTGCTGCAGCTCCGTCTTTGGTTTACTTCCACGGCTCCTGTTTTTTCATACACATTACTGCCGTTATTTACTATTGTAAGTAATCAGGAAACCAAACACTATTCAAAGAGTAACGGGTACAACTCCAGACTCGAAGACACCGTCAGAAACTCATAGCGCTTTCCCTTCTCGAAATAATATTGCGTTAATTCCACCCTGCGCCAGGGCTATGAAGTTTTCGTGCTCTTTTCTCAGCATCTTCACAGGCTTCTTGCGTGGTCTTTCTTTAAAATTATGCACTCTGATAATGTTGCTATATAAGAAGGTGACATTTTTTCGAGAAAAGAGAACGCCATCAGTAAATATTTCGTTAAATGGCTCGAAGGCTACGGGGAGGGTCGTGCTAGGTATTTTCTTTCATATTTTTACACATACAGAGACACCTGTCCAATATTGTACAAACAACTTAATGTATTGCTAATTTAGTGAAATTGATATGTATTCATTGGAAAACAACTTATTACTAATTTTAGTACTTAATGTTAATTATTTTCCATACTTTGACAATTAGTCTTTTCAATAAACTGTGCTTTAACTTAAAAATGTGATTATTGTTTTTAATAATGAATTCTGCCTAAAACATATATGTACATATTTAAGACTGATGATGATATCTAACGTTATAACAAAAATTAACAAAAAACTATTCACTTAATTTAAAAGAGAGAAAATTTGTAAATTGTAGTTTTGAATTATATTTAAAAATTAAATGAAAAAGAACTTTATAAAGCAAGCGTTTTGTTTAAATCGGTATTAGAATCAGAAGGTGATAAACTAGGACAAATATTATATTATCAAAGTCTTTATTGCAGTAACATTGAGTTTTGAATGTTAATATAAGTAAAAGAACAGTTTCGATTCAATTTATATAGGTATGTATGCGTATACTCATGAACCAACTAATAAGATCACCCAGGCAACCGTGTATTTGTAATTGCATTTGAGAAAAAAAATAATAGTTAATGACGTCATTTTTTAATCAGTTCTTTCATTCACATACAGGTTTCATTCCGTTTCATTCACACGGTGGCGAAAAAATGACGTCACTGCCAAAAAAATACTTTTTTCTCGCACGCCGTCCTGGGTGATCTTCATTCGTTCGTTCATGCGTATACTTGTACACATACAGCGCAATATACATTTCTTATGAATGACAATAATATGCACAATTTTAGGTAAAACGCTACTAAAAATTTATATTTTTCGTTATTTCTATCCAACTCTCCTAGTTTTGTTCTACATTTAGCATAAACAAAAGCGTACTTCATTTAGTACTTTTTGAAAAAACGACCTTTTTTATTCCCAGTTTCCCTCCTACTTCTAAAATACAACATTTAGTAAGGGAGTTTCAAACCAGCTTGTCACAACGTACAACACCTTGTATAATTTCACCATGTTTTATAACGAATTTCCATAAAGTTAATTTGTTCCCTCGTTAAAAGAAAACATAAAAAATAGATTCATTAACTACGCTAGTTTATAAGAAAAAAGGACTTCGCTAAAAGTGTTTTTTTAGACTAATTTAGGGTTGCTAAACATGAAAATAAGTCTCTTTTGCAGTTATTGTCAATAATAATTCATAAAAGCGAATACAACTAACCTTTGGATATCTTTCGAAAAATATATTTAGCCTAATTGCGTTGATATAATTTCTGTGGCAATCGGAACAGTACTTTTTGTGTTTATGTGTTTAAATTCGAAAGATAAGTACGTTCTCAAGCTTTTTCGAAAGTTGTTAATTTTTATTAATTCCTTTCGGTTGAAGAACTTTGCAAAAAAAAATTAATAATTAAAAAATTTAAGACAAAGGATAATTTTATAACGAAAATGTAAAGCATAAGAACGGCCAAATCAGACAGAAAATGTTGAACTTTTAACAGATTTAAAAAATGAAAATGTGTTTTTTTCACAAACAGCAGAAATTTTTCAATTTAATGTTTAAAATTAAGTTAAGATTTTTGGAGCCTCAAAGATCTGTTTCGAATTTAAAAGGCCTAAGAAAAGCTAAAGGCTAAAAGCAAATTACTGGGCAAATATAAAATAAAAAAGAGTACTAAATCTAGCCACAAAAGCATCAGCAGTGTCGGAGCCAGTGTGAACGGCATTAGTTTAATACGTACTGTACCGGGTTGGGACATCGGATAAGGGAAAAGAATTTATATGGCAACACCTTACCATGTCGCAACGGCTACTCAACCACAGCCAACATCGCTATTCATAGCAGCGAATGAAAAGAGGCAGGAAAATTTCGAAAAAGCGCTTGCATTTTGTTTGCTGTCAATCAGAAGTTTTAAATTTTCTTCAACATATCGTCGAGTAGGCCTAGTGCGTTGAAGTGTAAATTAAAAACGTATAGCGTACTTACAAGAATACAGTGCAATTTGCTTTGAAGTGGTTCGCCTTGCGCCAGTTTCTTTCATAGATCTTCGCTTTGATTTTCCCCTGTTTTTGTGCAGGTGTGAAAAGCAAGCATTCCAACAACAAGGTAAGCGTTTATTTTTCCAGCAGTTGGTTGCAATTGCATAGCTGCAACGGTTGCGATAACAAAAGTTTTAATGCGCTTTTCACAGTCCTTTGCACGCACCAACCTAACAACAACAAGCAACGCACATTGCAGATAAGTGTGAGTGCAACAGCGATATAACGTTTGTTTTGATTAGATAAAAGCCAAACGTTTCGGTTTCTTGAACAATAGGGTAACGCTGCCGATTAATTTACGCGAGGTGTGGTGAATTTATAACAATGCAGAAGTGCCAGCAGCAGTCATCGCCTTCTAACCAATGACTTTTCCCCGAAGTGCGTAAATGAAACAACTTTCTGTTCGAGTTTCAAGCATTTGACATTTGGGCTTATACGCGAACAAGGTGATAAAGTGTAGAGAAACGAAAGTTGGCGTTTATAAAAGAAAAAAAAAAATCTACAGAAAAACGTTGAAAATAGGAGAAAAACAATTGCAATCAAAATAAAACCATCGCGCCGCATAAATTTGGACGCCGCACAATAGTGGCAATTTTGCAGCAAGTCAAGTTGGAGTTGAAGCGTGAGAAAAAAGTGCTAGAACGTAGAGTCGATGTATTTGCGAATACAGGAGCCGGCCATTAGAACTTGGAAGCGCATTACAAATTTGGTGAATACGCTTTGGAACAGATTATATCTACCTGCTTCGCCGTTTTTAGCGCTCACATATCCAGCTTCACCAATCAACTTGCCCGAGGTAAGTGATATCGCTATTTTTTATTTACAATGTAAATTTTACATAAGCTATTGAAGCGCGGCACAAGCTAAAAAGCGGCTTTGATATTGGTGGCGTTAGTGCGAATCGGTCACGGTCGGTTGATTAGAAATTATTTCACCGCTGCTTATGGAGTGAATGTTTGTACAAAAGTTGCTAAATTGATTTTATGGGCTCTTAATATTTATACTTGAATTGGCGCACAATGCGCGCCGCAGAAATTGGCAAGAGATATTCACCACAGGTGGACGGGCGTTTCGCAAAGGGAATGCGGTAGATAAGAAATAGGTGGGCAGATTTACTAGAAATTATTAGAATATATAGAATAGATCACTCTTTACATGATTAATGAATTGTTTCCAAATTTTAATAGATTTAAATTTAATCCTGGAAAGGTTTTTTCCATGTACACTATATTTTTGCACTGGCAATATTCTATGCGTGGTGAATAAATACTTAGAGCTCCCCCTATCGGCAAGATGTTTTAACACGAGATGGCTTGACGTCACAGATTGGAATTTGACAAAATCTTGCGCTCTATTGGACGGTGTGTTTAGATTTTACCATTTGGAAAACACGAGATTTGCAATTTCGTGAAAAGTTTAATATCTTGTGTGCGGAACATCGGTTGAAGTGAATTCTTCAGTTTTCGTTCAGTAAAAGTGCTTTTGTTTACAAACAAAACAATATACTTTGATATTTTGAGTTCAAGTTGCCAAAAACAAGCAGCCATTGTCGCCGAGCACACAACCATACACTCGTTACACAAAAGAAAAGTGCACAAAAAATCAATCTTAAGTGGTGTTTGCTAAAACGAGTTTTATTTTTATTGTGTGAAGAAAAACGTAAAAAATCTGCCAAGTAAACTAAACGAAAGAAACCGAAAGCAAAGAGGTAAAAGAACGAGTAAGATACAAATGCAAAAAACCATTTTGACAAGTATGTAGTAATTTTCGCCATTGATTCCAGCACCACAGCCCCATTTATGGTTTTAGCCAAAAGGGGAGGTTTCGCAAATAAAGTTGGAAAGTTTAAAATAGTTTATAAAATTTTCGCATATTTGCAATTTTATTCCCCATAGCTAGACCGAATACCGAAGTACTTTTTCATTGTGGTGCATGCAATGCATGTACACATGTATGTATGTACTTATACCTTATACCTTGCAGGGAAACCCCGAATTAGTGAACCAAATTTCTAGATCCTTACTAGATCCATGACTAGATCATATCATGACTAGATCTATATCACCAAAAACGAATCAGTCCTATAGTAACTAGATCCCCACCAGTTTAAAAGTACCGAAATGTGCTCCCAAAATTAAACTTATCTGAACTATATGTCGGCCAGATAGGAGCGATAAGTTGCTGCTGAGTCCACCTTTTCTAAAACGTTATATCTTAGTTGAAAAATTTAGAGCTGGTTTGGGGCAACAGAAAAAGGGATGCTGAATGAACTGTCGAATTTAGAACTGGTTCGGAATTATCAAAAAAGGGTTGCAGAGCGTAGCTGGTTTGACGGTTTTTTCGTTCATATACGCTTTCCTTCTGTACTTCATACAAATACAAAACAAGAATTATTTGGTATTAACGATTTAACATTTTGGGACCTTCTGGAATATAACCAATAACCGCAAGCGCCGCTGCACAATCAGTTACAACAAACGGATTTCAACCTGAAAACACTTTTATTTGAAAATACTCAAAGGGGCTAATATGCGAAAACCAAAAAGAGGGATATTAAAACCCAGTTGGTAAAACGTCTGTCGGTATAGGTCTTGACGAGGAAACCCGACTTAGACATACCCGATTAACTGGCTTCGTGTGCACAGGAAAATTCCAGCATTAATTTACTGATCACCAAATCTATATTAAGGGTTAATGATTAAAAATTAATATTTTTTAATCGCGGTTACGAGTAACTGTTTAATCACGATTGACTGTAATCAGATTGAATTTAGTCGAATTAACTAATTGAATAAAAATCAATCGATTAGTACGAAAAGTGAGAAAAAAGCATGCTGAGCGAATTAGTTCCCTCTGTCGAATTTAGGACTGGTTCGAAACTATAAAAAGGCAATGCAGCGGGGGATAACATCCACTTCCTAGGACATCGTCGTTTTAAATTCGTCAGCTGTTTGCACGCAAAAGGGATTTATCGCGAATCAATAGTGGGTCTAAATGTAATAGAAGCGTACCAGTTCAGAACTAGACATTTTCCTCCCCACAGGGTACTAGAAGCGCACCTCTTCAGAACTAGTGATTTTCCCCCCAGGGTATATATGTACTTACATACATATATGTATCAGTATGTATGGCCATTGTCTACGGAAAATTATTAAAATATTAATGATTATTTTCCCCTACTCTGTTTTTGCGCGATAAGCAACTAAATGGCATACGTGCGATAGTATTAAACAGCTTTTTTCTTGAACGTTTTATTTAATATTTCCATTTTCTATCCTAACCTTAGCCACCTTGTAATAAGTCTTATTTTACGCCGAATTTCCTTCATGGGTACGTTGCATTTTGCATGTGCACCTTAATAAAACGTACTGCCACGCAGCTGCCGATATTCGTCAAAAGCTATGCGTTTATTAATAAAATGAGCATTTTTAACTACACACACATAATCGATTAAATCTTTATTTATGTATGCAGCTATCAGTCCAGACATTAAGCTTTAAATTTTTTTCTTTAGATTTATGCACTATTTAACGCTTTTGTACTTTATAGATGCCAAGGACACGCAGACGTCATCATTCCCATGATCGTTCATCAGGTGCCCATAGGGATAAGCGTAGACGTGTCGATTCTGAAGAGACATCACCTTTGAAAACGGATGCGTCATCACCGTAAGTGAAATTTTACTTTTATTCACATATATCTAACTTACACAAATACGATTTTTTATCGAATTTAATTTGCAGACCACGCGCAAGATATACACGATCGGATGCCAAAAAACGACATCATGAGTCAGACGTCAGTTCGCATGTATCAAAGGACTCATCGTAAGTTTTTATTATACTAATACCATAGCAAAATATACATATATTTACTATCGCCCCTATTGCGAGAGTCGACTAGTAGTAGATAAACGACTCTTATTCGATTATCGCTTGTCCATGGTATTTTTGAATGTCAATTTCTCTTTCAACAACTATTCGTTTGTAGAAGGATGAGCGACTTTTAAACGCACTTATTGAACGAGAAAACGACTTTGATAATACCGCGGATAATCGATAATCGTCTAACAGTCGTTTATCTACTACTAGTCGACACTCGCAATAGGGGTGTATATATGTACATACATGCATTGGTGGCCGGATAATTAAAAAACGATTTTCTTCTACAAGGTTTCACCATCTATTTTTATTTATTATTTTTAATTAATTTTTTTTAAGAAAATATGGTGCACGCTACAACGAAAAGCATATAACTCAAAGCAGACTACGTTAAGCGTTTGTTTTCATACAAATAATGTTCGAAAATTTTTTGGGAATGGGAGAAAATGAGCAACACTACCAACAAAAAGCACTACCCTTCCGATGCAAAAAGAATTGTCGAATCGAAAAAAAATATTCCGACGAACTGATAACCTCCTCCTTTTTTGAAAGGCGGTTAAAAATAGGTTCAAGAAAATCGTTTATAATTATCGGACCACCTGTGTATATATATGTATATGCGCATATTTATTTATTTATAAATTGTATGTATACGGACCTAGTTGGTGTTAATAGGCAAAGGACTTATGAAAATGCATTAACAGCCAGTTTTTATGCATAAGCAGAGTAACCTTCGCTTAGCTTTCTCATAATTTATATATGAAAATGTTAGCAAACGGAAAGCTGCAATGAATTTCAGAGATGAGACTTAACAAGTGTTATAATAACCCTTTCTTTATATATATACATATGTATGAGACCATGGGAACCAGAATGCCTTGGTTGAAAAAATTAAACATAGATATTGCCTAAAACGCATAACTAGAAATGTGTTTTTTTATAATCCGGCAAAAATACGGTCTATATTTCTCATTATGTGCAATTGGTATAAAAAAAACGTTATTTATATTGTCAAATACTGTTAAGTATTTGTGTAGATAGGCTACACTGGTTCTCATGGTCAAGCTGTTTAGATAACTATCCTAATTTCTTTAGCAAAACAGTTTTATATTACACCCACTGCTGCATAAAACAATTTAAATAGAACTATTCCTTACCGAATATGAACAAATTTAAAACAGTAGAACATTTTCATATACATATACCAAGTTCAAGCCGTACTCCCTTCAGAGGAGCTTATCTTTTGAAATTGCATATTTTTAGGCGCTTTTATCTTCGGCATTGCGTTGTAGATACATGCATACATACATATAATACTTGTATAATATAAATAGCTTGCCCATAAAGGACTGAATACTCGCATGGGCTTAAAACAACAATTCATTTTGATACAGTTCTTTTAGTGGTGAGCATTAAATGCATGAATTATTGATTGTACATTAAACATTTTTTATTATTTGATTTTTTTTTGTAATTTTATTTTTATTTTTTAACTGAATGCCGTTCGAAGTCATTAACCGCAATTCGAAGGCAATAAAAAAAGAGAAATTGTATGGACTGAAGCAATGTGGGATGCCTACATGATGTATGATCGCGTACTTCCCTATAACCAAATCTGCCTTGCAATTGGTGGTACATTGTAAACGAAGTGGGTGGACAGTTTTGAAGTCATTGCTGCAAATGCATTTGGTTGCGTAATTTTATTTAAGTTAACAGTAAATCCTTTGGTAGCAGTTTCTTTGAGTGATTCAGCTGTTTGAGCTGTGTGTGTGTGCACAATGTGGAGCATCAATATATTGTTCGCACTGGCTCTAAATATGATAGGTCATATGATAGTTTTATATAAATATTCATACTTAATGTACATATATACCTTTTTCCCATTTTAATAGATATACACTTTATTTTTATTATCTAAAGTCACACTTTTCTTTAGATGAATGTTGCATTTTTGCAATAGCCATTTTTGGACACTCATTTACAAGTGACCGAACGGCATGTTGTGTAAACATATGCAAATTGTCAGTAAAACATGATGGCTGCGCGCTGACTGTCTTCCAGCGAATTTATTGTTTTGTGAATTATTGCCGTAGTATTGAAGTTGGTTGTTTGTTTGATTTTTTTTAAGTTTTGGGATTTAATTTTCTACATTTTTCCTCTTATTGTATGCATTGTTTTACTTTGCTATAACTTGCAATATTTGCATTCGATTGTCTTATATGAAACGTGCGTTGTTGCTGTCACTTTTTATGGCATCACAACAAAAATAACTTAACTGTTTTCTTTATTTAAACAATAATTTAAAAGGTGACCGTCTTCATACGTATTTATCCTCAAGTATTAATGTCTTTACTGTGGTTTTAATTCCATGCACCCTGCAAGTCGTCGCTCACTGCCTAACCATTTATATAGCACGTATGTACATACAGTATAATTTTTACAAGCTTTTTGTTATAGTAAATATGTATTTGCATTACGAGACTAATAAGGAAATATAATTAATGTCCACTTTCCGCTTGAGTAGCACGCGTTTAATTTATCAAGTCCTGATTGTGCTTTAGTTTCTGCTGAAATTAATCACAGCTGCATGCACGCCCACACTTCGGTGACACAAATGTGTAAAAGTCGAACTGTGATTAAGATCGTCGTAAACAAAGAGAAGAAAGGATTTCTTTTTTGTTAATAATTCTACTGAATTTCACGTGCGTTGGATGTTCGTATGCACGATTAAGTGTTACTCTGGTGCACTTCCGGCAGATGAAAAGTAGTTTTTGAGTTGTAGATGCGTACGTACATTTGCATAAGCATACAAATTTTTAAAAGTAGCACTGTCGGAAATGGAAATTAATAAAATCCTTAAATAGAGTGTGGAATAATAAATCCTTACTTCTTGGAAAATTTTTAATTTTTATTTTGATAATTGTATGGGAAGAGTAGCAAGCTCTCTACCCTAGCACATGGTTTATAACAAAGTTCATGTGGCAACAGTGTGTCATAAAAAAATCGCAAGAGCTTCTCTTGTAATAGAGTAAATATCAATAGCCATGGGGATACCTACAGGCCACATTATTTTAGGCAGACCCGAATAATGAATAGGAGCACACCTCAAAGTCCTTTGTATAAGTTGCCTTGGCAATGAATAGCCCATATCTGTAGGCCTTTATTGTGTGAATGCACTGTATTATGCAGAAGACGGTACAGGATTTTTAAACGATGGGCAAGGCGATGCCCATAAGTGATCTAAACGCAGCGGCAAAGATGAACAGCATACAGCAAATTACTAGATTTGCTGACTCCGTGAATTGGTTAAAAGATGAGTAGGGGTTTCTCTTTGGTATTACCAAGTGCCCAAGTTGCAGGCCGGCCTATCTTAGCGTATACCAACCGCCCTTTGAATCTGACCTAACCTACGGAACGAGTAAGGGCCAGCTTTTTAGTGCTAGTTTAAACTTAGTTTAAGTAAACTGAGTTTAAATTGAACAGTTGACTGACATTTGATTGGCTGATCTTAGTTAAAACCAGCCAGATCGGGCATTTAAAGGGAGTTTAAATCACGGCCGTGCACTGAAAAACTGGCCCTAAGATTTTTCTAGATAACTACACATCGTCACCATCGATTAAAATGATTATTTGACATTTTTCGGAGGTAAAACACATCGGCAGGCTTTTATCGCAGCATTTTTTTTTTTTGACTGTCGCAAATCAAAAGACCACAACGATACGTGCAGAACGATACCACGGCTCCACCGCGTATATATCTGGATACCGAAACTCACTGCATGGCGAAGAAGTGGAGGCGCAATCTCCACTTACCACGAAAACGTGTTGGGAGGCCAATTTGGGGGATAAATAACAGACAGAATTTGCTATCGGTTCTCTTTTCTATTTAAATCTAACAACGTGAATGCCAATACCCACATGCATTATTTTTTAAGATATTTGTTTCAAAACACGTTCATCTACGCCGATTTCACTAATACTCTGTGTCATATGTCAGTTAGTGTGCCGCTTACACCAAATATGACAAGGTTAATGTCAGTGCGACATTCAAAGTTACAACTTCATGGTTTCTTGTTTTTTTTGCTAATGTCTTGCGATACCTAATTGTTTTTGGCTATGACAACCGTCTTCGCAAATATCAAGACAAACGCAATGTTATTTGTTGACTGCTCGCCGACACTACAATACTTACCAAAACTTTAAATTTCAATTGAATTTGAAATTATTCATGCATTGTACCATGCGTACTGCTGTGTACTCCGCTTGCGATGGCGTGGGCGCTGTAGTACATCGAAGATTTTGATTAGAAATCAAGGTCATTTGCAAAAAGAAAAGACAAACATTGGAAGACCCTCAACCTCATTGCTACCAAATCCGCTGTGCTGCTTGGCTTAACTCGGTTGCATTTGAAATTCGACCTTTTGACAGCCACCTACCAGCAAAAATGATGATTGCCAGACATTTGTGTGTGAACAATTTTGTGTTGCCCCGAATCACTCGGTATTTGTAGCGGTAAAGAGTGCAACGCCAGTAGCGTGACGTTGCAATATTTCTGTCAATGTTTATTTAATAACATGTCAATTTTTTTTTAATATCTAAACAGTTTTGTTCTGCTCACTTGCCTATTTTTGTGTCTTGCCTGCCACTCTTGCCTGTTCATGCGCATACGCCCCTTGTCAACATTGTAGGAAACCATGCGGTTTGGCATGAATGATTTTCTTTGATTGACGCAAGAAATGTCAATTGTTGGTTGAGTGGTGCGTTACTTGCGATTGTAGACACACATTAATGAGATTTTTTTTTTTTAACTTTTGATTTCGGTATTTGCTGAAAAGTGAGTTATCTGTGTACAATGCTAATTCAGTTAATTAAGCAACTTAATTTTTTGTTAAAATGAGGATGACAGATTTGTTGAACAATTTTTGAAATGGTTTCATTTTGGGTGT